TATAATGTACCACCTTCATCCCAAATGACGCCCCTCCTCCTACTGCATGCCGGAAGGGGCCAAAGAACGGCCAATATGAGCCCAAGTGTTAGGCTACAGCGTAGGGTTCATTCCTGCTAATAGCGATCTGCGAGTTTACTGCAAAAACGCATGATAGCACCGAACAGCCTGGTGCGTTCCAGCCAGGGTTAATCCAGCAACCAGGAAAGCTGAAATTTTGAGGACGTATTTTCACTCCATGTATTGTCCTCCCGTTCAAGATCGTCGCCTATACGCGCCTAAATCTCGCTTATGGATCCCGAAAAAACATGCTTGTCTTTGGCGAGAAACGATTTCGTAAGCCCGACATAATAGAAAGCTCTCTTTGCAACAATACTCTCTGTGCATGTATGAGTTAAAGAGTTCAAATTCAGACATCCCACATGCTTATACTGCAGATGTGATCATGCCAAATTTCGTAGTTGGCACTGTGCCAACCCAGAAACTGGCTGGAAAAGAGTGGTTGAAATTTCGCTAGAATATTTATCGTCCACATGAAAAATCGTATGCCTAAATCATCGAGTTTTGATTTGCACTTGCACCAAGACTTAGGGCACTTTAACGATATTTGTGGCAAAGTGTTTAACTGACAAACTGCGAAGCTGAAACTTTGCAGGGACATCCTACATCGACATACGATCTTAACTCAGCGTAGAAGTGAATTTCCCCAAACACGAAAATAAAAAATACTTAATTTCTAATCGAAAACTCAGAAGCGAGTGCATTTTGTAGATTTCATAATTCTGTCTCGACTTCCTTCAAATTCGCACTTTTTGGACATCCAACCATTCACCGGAAAAGCGATCGGGCTTCATGCAAAAAACCGGCAATCATGTATGCTTTAGGCCTACGCTACCCCATGATGCAACACTACTTTCCCAACCTGTACACAAGGAAACGCCAAAACATATGCCCAATCGTTAAACTGTAACGCAAGAACCAGTCATGTTATTAACGATCTGACCACTACAAATCTACTGCAAGGACGAATGGTCGCACCGAGAAGCCTGATGCGTTTCAGCATAAGGTCTGCGTTGCATAAATGCAAACAACGCATAAAAATCTTGACCAATCCAAAACCACTGGAAAATACAGGGATAGCGACAGCAACTAGTATTTAGCAGCAAATATAACCACACCCTACAAGATATAAAATACGCTAAAGCAAGCACCACTTGCACGAGCATGTTATGCCCCACTCCGCTTTCAAGTTATGTTTGCTTAAACTCGCAAACACAAACGACTTCTGTCGGACATTAGTCTTTATGCCGCGTCCAGCACTTCTCTCTAATCTGCTCACCCGGAATCGGACAGAAAAAAATGTACGAACACGACCAACAATAAGAACCTCAAATAAAAAAAATAATCATGTCCGAAATTTTCGTTCCAAAGGCATAGCATTTTATCCTTGGAAATTTTTTCTACGAGATTTAATTTGCTCAACTTTTAAAATGTTCAGTTGCTGTGGCGATGAACAATGTTTAACAACAATTTTATCAGATAACAGTTTTTACAGGAACAGATAAACTCAAATCAATCAAAAATCCCAAAGCCCAGATCGTCATCAGATTCCTCTTCTTTCTCTTTTTCCTCCTTTTTCTTTGCATCGGTCGATGCTGCATCAGTATCGCCGCCCTTGGTATCTGCTGATACAGGTGCCTTCGCGGAAGCACCACCAACTAAAAGCATAATCATTTTAAAGTTGCACGAATCGCTATTTCAAAAAGAAACTAGCCACATCATGGTGAGTATACTGTCGAAAACATTAATAAATCGCGCAAGCCTTCATCATCATGTCTTAAGAAAAAGAGTTA